TTGTCCTTGCGTACCCGAGTCAAAATTTTAATCTTCCTTTTGACTTCAATATTCTATTTCAACATTTCTACTTTGACACTCTGAAGCCTATATCAATCTCTTTCGATTCTATTTACCTACTAACTTTGCTAAGAGGTCCTCTACAAGTGGCATTTTGTGCGTATTCTACCATTTAGAGGATTTCAAGTAGTTTCCATGTGCATTTAACATACACTGGTCTTTCAGAATATACAAACGTTCAGGTCGAATGTACGTTGAAAAAAAAGGTTGCTAATAGTAATTGAGCCTAGATAATAGTTATATATTGGTGAAATAGTTTCAACCATATGTGTAGGTGAATATAATCCAATAATTTGATAAGTATTAACAAATAATCTTAGAAAGACTTAACATTTGTTGCCAAAGTTTGGTATTTGTTGTTAAGACTTGGTAATCGTTACCAATTTATGTGATATCATGAAATAATCATGAAATAATTTTTAAAATAAAATCGTACTGTTTAGTAATATTTAATCATATTATGTGGTTATAAATATAAGTAACCAAATACTTATCAAATACCAATAACTAATAATACTAATAAATAATCAAGTACTTTAATAATAGTCAAAGTATTTAGTAATTATTACCAAGTTACTTGATATTATTTATTATTTAATTGATCCAAATAAATGAAAAATTCATTTTACTAATTATTTTGCAGTGATCTATCATTTTACTAATAATTGACGCAGTGTTACAAATTTTAACAAATTTCTTGCACTTTTGTTATCAAAAGTCGTTCTTTAATAAAACGCTGAATATGAATATGATCTCAAAAACTGTTCATCACGTTCAGAAAATACGTGTTTAAATAAGGTGACCAGACGTCCCGATTTTTTTTTGGGATAGTTCCGATTTTTCATCCTTTGTCCTGAATTTTTTCGAGTGCTATTCGGGACACCGATTTGTCATCATTTTCAATGACTCAAATAATTTTCGGATCTTTTTACCTCCCTCTCCCCGCCCCCCATTTCACACATTTATGAAGTGTCCCGAACTCAGGACTGGGAAATCTGGTCACCTTATACCGCGAAGAGAAATAAGAAGATTATTTACAAATGGCATCTTCACGATACGCCCCGGCGATCGCACATCGCTATTTTCGACACTCCCAATTATTTCCGCGTGAGATTTACTTTCGACGGGTTAAAGACGCGTAAATGAGGAGCAATGTTGATCGATATGTCCACGGCGGTTTCTCGATGCAAAAAGATCGAGAATCAAGATGGCCACGCGATTGTTGAATCGCGCTGAAAATATACGGCAATATATGAACAGCGCCGCGGCCGAAAAGAACGCGCTCTATAAGATACTTCTCTCTTCGTATCTCTTTTCCTAACAAGCTGACGCAACCGCCCGAATATTCTGCATCTCTCTT